AATTTTTCTAACTAACCCTTATTTTATATATATTTTGGTGCTATATGACCTGTGCGCCGAAGCCTTAATTGGCGGTAGTGGTTTTTTAAAAAATTTTTAGCGGAGTTCGGCGGGCGCCGATTTCTCCGCCGATTAAAGCTAGCAATAAACAAATTGGGGTAGTTTAAAACTTGTAAGTTCATAAAAAAAAATTAATGACCAGATTTGATGGAAAACATTTCCATATTTTTTAATTTATTTGAAAATAATATTATTTGACTTTCAAAAAATTGTTAAAATAACATTTATATAATTCTTATCAATTTTTACAAGTTAAATAATTTTATTTACAAACGAATTAAAGATTATGGAAATATTTTGAATTAAATCTGTACAACACTGTATATGTGTTTGTGTAATTTTGAAATATGAATGAATGTAAATGATATAAACTATTTTATTATATGCCAAAAGAATACAATTCATATTTTAATTTTATTAAGTTAGTATTCTAATTTATATAATTATAATTTAATATATAAATATAATTGAATAGCATTCTGAAAATTATGCGCTCCGCGCCGCCGCCATAAAAAAAATCGACGAAGCCAGGCCGCGTTGCTCATCTCAATTGGCGGCTTTTCCGGCGGTGCACAGGTCTAATTATATACAATGTTGAAACAGGTAACGCACACCATAAATAATTTAAGTTCCTCCCGGATCTATGGTACATATTTCGAATATGTTCCTTACGATAATCTCTTTTCATATTGCCAAAATAGTACTTTCATCAGATTTATGAATAATGTTTATTTTATTTTTACTTTTTGTATTGCATCTTTCTTAGGTGAATTTTTAATATATCGTCGCTTGAAAATTAGGTTATTTTTATATCCATTTCTTGTCAAATATGACTTTTCCTTTTACATAAATCAATTTTTTATAATTATACCATTCTATTTACTTTTAAAAAATCCGAAATATTTATAAAACAACTCAAATTAAATCCTAAACTAGGCTAACAATCCTATTGAAAATAATAGAAATTTAATTTTTAAAATTGCTCTCTTGTAAAATCAGGGATACGAACCCGGCAAAATTTTTTCCCGGGTTCAGTTCGGGTTCGGTTTAGGGAAATATTTTTGAACCCGGGTTTGGTTCCAGGTTCAGCTCGGGTTTAAGAATTTTTGAATTGATAAAAAAAAATATTCTATATTTCAATCATAATTAAAAAACTAGACATAAATTTGGTATAAAAAATAAATTTTTTATTTTATTTATAGGCAAAATATTGTTAAAAATACAAAGCATAGGTATCAATTTTAAAAATTTTATTTAGACGTATTTCTTTATTATAAATATCCAATATAATAATTTTTACTTTGACTTGTTCACTTTCATTTTCTTCTAATTAATAATCTTTGAGAATAAGTTAAAAATTAAAAATAAATGGCGTAAATGAATTTAATTGTTTAAAATTTATTAACAATCCAATAGGAATCTTTGAGAATAAATTTTTTAAAAATTTAAAAATGGAGTAAATTAATTAAGTTGTCTAAAATTTATTAACACTTCACTTAATTGGAAATTTGAAAATATTATAAAATGTCAAGTAAATTATTAATATTTGTATTTACAATTAAACAAATATCTTAGATTAATTTAAACAATACACTGAACCCGGTTTAACCCGGGTTCAAATAAAATTCTCGGGTTCGGTTCGGGGTTTTGAAAATTTTATAAACGGGGTTCAGGTTCGGTTCAAATTCAAATTATTTTCCCAAAACCCGGGTTTTCCTCTTCGGGTTCGGTTCGAACCCCTGTGTAAAATTATAAAAAGTGGAGATAGAATATTCCAATTCTCAGGTGACGATATAATATAACTATTTATTATTCGTGTTCATTATATATTCGAGATTCAATTGATCCTAAAAGAAAATTCACGATTTCAATTGGATTTCTTCCCTTCCCATTTCTCTCCTTAATAATCCCTATACTACGATTAGTAATTATATTAATTTTCTGGATCAGTTGAACGGTAAACCTTTTCTTTATCCTGGACAAAACCTTTTATAACGGGTCACGCATAAAATGTTACTGACCGGAACGAACTAGAGGTTTTCCCGAGCCGGGCCTATAAACCTTTTGTTTAAACCTTAACTGGCCGGGGCGTGTGTGATCTATTACTCCCGATTTTTATTTTATATAATACCAATAATTTCTATTCTATATTTTGTTGTGATAGTTTATTAATTAAAGTTAATGAAAAATAAAATCAATACTTTTTCCTTTTTGAAAATTCTCAGATTTTTTTTAAAATTTTTTTAAAATATAGTATTATTATTTTATTTATTTTTTAAATCGGCTGAAAATTCTCCTTGACACCATTTTAAAAGATAAATAAATATTTTGATTTGAAATCGAAATGTAATTGATATTTTGATTTACTTTGGTGTGACAATTATCAATCCGCGTTTAGGCCTCAAGATTATAAAGTCGCCTTCGTCCAAATTTTGATTAGTATAACCTAGTATCGTTAAGCGGCTCGATTTGAACAGATTTTTAAAAACGGCTACCTTAATATCTTATACAGAAAAACATAACGCAAGCCTCAAGATTTAGCTTATGGATATCACAAAGGTTTGGACATCTATTTGTCAATATTTTTCGGGCTAAAATATTGAGTTAGCCGTTTTTTAAAAAAACGACTCAGGTCGAACATTTAACAACACTGGGCTTGGCCTGTAGGTCTTTGATTAATGTATTAATCATTGAGTTCATTAGTTAAACCTTATCTATCTGAGTTGCGTCAATATTTATTGTTAGATGAGTACATAATATTTACAAATTCATCACTCAGTTTTGCCAGTCACTAACCAAAGACAGAGTTATATGCCAAATATAACATTAATAATTAATCTTTATCGAATTTTGAATGGCGATTCGAAAATAAATTTCATAGTGAAATAAAGGATTTCCCCTATTTCAACCTATTTTTGAATATTATAATTTTGCGATCTATAGATATATTTTTTTTCTTTTCTGTTTACTTAGTTATAAAATATTGGTTATCAAAGAATTTGATAGGAATCTGAATCTAATATTAAGACGTAGCCTTAAGTCCAAAGTTTTCTAAACTTTGGCAACCATTTGAAGTTCAAACCAATATGTAATGCTTAATTACAGTATACATGTAGGTTAGTGCTTCAACTTATATTATTTTTTTTCCCTTAATTACTCAGATTTAAAACACTTAAAGTGATAATCACTGAATTCCCAAAAGATGATTCTGTTAGGTGAAAATTTTAATTTTCTCAGAATTGAATATCTTAGAAAATATATAATATCGCTCAGAAATTTTTACTATAATTTTTATTTTTATGTGCATCCGCATGTTTTTTGAGGTTACTTTATATCTTCTGGTTTATGTCTTGAAGATTAAACACTTTTCAAAAATAATTTACAGACAAGGGTATCAAATGGAAGCCAGTAAAATAATTTTGAGTACTTTTAAAATTACCCATCATTCTATAGGCCCTCGTATCAAGGGAGTTTTAATTTCTTTAAATGGAAATTTCCGTCAAGGACATCAAATGAATGCGAATAAGAATATTTTTTGAATGCTATTATCCCTCTAGGTTCTTTGATCTAGCTCACTGATAGAAAGGTAGGGGGGGGGGGGGGTTGTAAAAACTTACTATAAATATCCATAAGAGTATTAAATAAAATCTTTTAAAAAAAATATATTTAATTAATAGTTATAGTCACTTTGTTTCAAGTTTTAGCCTGGTTGGGAGGACAGGAAGGGTAAAATATTTATAACATGTATTTCCACATTGGTAAATGAAAGCTAATAAAAGAATGTGTTTACATTGTTACTTATCTCTACATTTTTAGAGTAAATCTGGGGTGGGTGGGGAGGATAAAAATTATTACATAATTTCTCGACATGATTCTCAAATAAAAATATCTTTCTACTGTTTTGTTAATAATCTCCATCACTACAAATCATGAGGAAGATCAAATTTTTAAATACTTTTTTAATACATATATTTTAGCATGGAGGGGGGTATTATGACACGCGTTATGATTTAAGCAACTTTTATAAATGCATTCGCAATATATTTATTATTTCGCGGTAATAACTTCGCGCAGATACATTCGCTATAAAGGGTGCGCGATAAAAGTTTCTCTATAACGGGTTCGCGATCAAAATTTCGCTAAAATGTATTCACCATTACGGTTTCGCGATAATGAGTTCGCAATATTGTTTTCGCTATAAATGTTTCGCGGAAAAAATTCTCTGAATTGGTTTCGCGATATTACCTTAGCTCTAAAATTCCTTCCGATAAACGAGATTTTCGATAAAAGTTTCGCAGAATTGAACTTGATTCGATAAATTTACAACAAAAAAAATTCCTTTTTTAATTGATTAATTTTATGAATATCTCATTTATACCAGATCATGGCACAAGGGGTATTTTACGCGTTTTGGAAAAGTTCTGAAATGTTACAAAAATATTTTTGGATTTTATTTATATAATTTTTTAATTTAACGAACACATTCTAGTCAATCAAATGTATCGAAATATATTTTTGTGCCCAATATATTATTAGCCACTCCTTTTCATCCCGGTGAAGCGTAATGCGTTCGTTAATAAAATTGAGAAATATAACTTACTTTCTTTAATTATTATTTCTGGAAACTTTCAAGCTGTTTCATTCTCGTGTTTCAATTCACGGTTCCTAAATCCAGTCTAGTGGTGTTAAACGGCTCTATTTTTAAAAAGCGACTAACCCAATATTTTAGCCAGGAAATATTGCACAAACCTGGAGATTCCGTACATGAGTGGCGGAAAAGTTTGGGCATCCATTAACGAAATTTTGAGACTTGCGTAATATCACTTTGGCTAAATTAAGCCCTTTAATAACACTAATCCAGTCCCTTCCCTGATTTATAAATTTCATCTTCCACACCCCCCCCCTTACCAACTATTTAATAAATAATCATTTCATTTTAGAAATGGTCAATTAAAAGAGGGCGATCAGATCCTTGCTATAAATGGCGTGCGCCTTCAAAATGTGCCCCACAAAGAAGCCATCTCTTTGTTACAAAACTCCAAAGGCGCTTTAAACCTTCTCATCGAACGCCAGGTCAAAAAGAAACGTAAAAGTTCTACGTCCGAAAATAGACCTATCCCTATCACTGCCACAAACCTCGGCCCTAGTTCTGTCGAAAGAAAAGAAACAGGTGATATTAAGGACAAAGAGTTATGGACAACAGATGCTATCGATAACGCTGCCGCAACTCAAAGCAAGGAAATCGAAAGGCTTTCTTTGTCTAATATTCCATACGAACTAACTAAACAATTATCATTCACTTCCTCTCAAGTAGAACCAAGCCTAGACGAAGCGGTGCCCGCCCTTGCTCCCGATATCTCACTCTCCAAACCCCTTCATTCTCTCGATAGTCGTGTAGAAATCGATAAGAATATGGTGGTGAGTAAGAATATATTTAATTTTAGTTAGGTCACATGATCATTTGGATGCCAAATCTTAAATTTTATTTCATAAAACCTATCCTTAAAATCCAACTTTATGATTGGCGGCCAAAGGTTTTCCGACTGGCCAATCAGTGTTTTAAGTGGTTTTGATCTTATCGCTATCTTACACTTATATTTTGAATTATATATTTTTTTTAGAATAATTATTAAAATATACTTTAAAAAATATTGAATTTTTTTTAATGAAACACATTAATAAAAATAATAAATTATTAATTTAAGAATCTAAAATCTAAAATTCGATATAGAAAAAAAAATTACTTTTTAATAATCGTACATTATAATAAAACTTTTTATTTCGCGAAAATTGCACCGAATTTCGATCAATTTTGGATTTTTTTGCTTGTTTGTAATTGATACGATACATTATCATCTAGATAAAATATGCATAAAATTCGATATAAAATCACGAAAAAAAAACTGTCTGCCTCCATCATATCTAATATTAAACATGTGTCATAAATTATGAATGGAATATAATAAGCTGCATGAATTGTGTTTAAAAAAACATAATTATATCTAGTTTGTTAATAGATAGTTTTAAATGGTGATGGTTATTATATATGGATTCGTTTCCAACAATAAATTAATGATCCCTTCATATTTTCGGCGACATTTGGACAGCATATATTATTTTATTTTAAGATTGCTTTTAAAATATTATATTAATTTTTATATCAGTATACGAGTAAATTTGAATGCTTAAACTCATTTAAATCATTTTCCCATTTCACTTATTTTGCAAGTATATTATATAAAAATAATTATTTTTGGCCTTTTGTGAATCCCTATATTCGCTCAATTAGAATCTTAAAATCAATCCATATGTTCAGATTTATTCAGTTAACAATTTGAACAATCTTGTTCGTTCTTTTAATGGTAGGTGACATCAATATTTCAACATTGATACTATTTCTTTGGAGATGTTCCATGCTTAAGAAATTTAGTCGAATCAGGCTTAAATAATATGATTGGCTTAATTTTATTTAGATAGCTCCATAAATATAGCATTAATGTGTGATTTTTTTAAACTTTAAAACATTTTTTAAACCCGTTTTTCTATTTCGCTATTGTATTCCAAGTTTATGTAGAAAATTTACTTTTCAAATTTTTTAGAAATTTTTTTTTCTATATAAATATTATAAATGACTTGAACGGCAAAGTTGTCTGAAATTCATAGTGTAGGTTTTCTAACTAAACATGCTGGAATACCCTTAATCAGATTTTTTAAATATAAAAAAATTAACACGTCGATAACAAATTGGCCTAATTGCTTTATATATATCGTTTTTTTATATATTTTATTTAATCTAGTTGGACACCGAATGGGCCGAAATAGAACTGATCGAATTAAAGAACGAGGGCACAGGTTTAGGTTTCGGTATCGTGGGTGGCAAGAGTACTGGAGTCGTTGTCAAATCAATTTTACCTGGCAGTGTGGCTTATATCGTAATCATAAAACATCGTTATTGTTATATTTTCATAAATGAATATTATGCGAATCCTGCAGGCCTCTGATTTATTTGTGTCAAATAAAACTAATTTTTTTTTATATAATTTAAAATCAATGAATTATAAAAAGATAATAATAATGGTACAAACGGGCTTAATTCGATCCACCATATTAAAAAATATTTATGAAAATATTTTATTTTTAATATTGATTGATATCTTCTTTAATTTTATAGATATTTATATCTTTAATCCTTATTCGAAAATTGAAACAATATTTTTTTTTAAATAAATAAATAAATTGTTTTTTCGTAATAACTTCATGGTAAAATATCCAAAAAAAAATTTTTTTTAAGACGTTAAGAATCTATGATTAATTCTTTTTTTTTCACTTAAACCCAATTACTAATCCAACAAAATGTTTCGCTTAGACGGATAATATTTTTAGCCCTAATTCAAACGGGGAGAAGGTAAAAAAAAGTATAATATAATGGAAATATAAAATCAGATTAAAAATTTAGAGAAACCAATTTTAAATTTAATGAAATTCTCTATTTTAGAGCCCTGCGCGAACTTGAGTCGGTTCAGACTCAGATATTCTCTTGGATTCAGGTCTCACTTCCATTTTTTATTTTTTTATTCGGGCCGGAGGACAAAAATTTTCTCAGACTTCGGATTTTGGTAAGAAAACCAAATTTTAAATTTTTGTTTTTCCCTTCCTTAATACATTTCTTTATTAATATTCTTTTCAAGAAAAACAAAAATTATAAAAAATATTATTTTCCTTTTCACCGTTCATAATACTTCCGGTTTCCTTAACACATTCCAATATTTTTTTGTGAGTTTCGGAGAGTATACCTTATTTTGAAAGTATATGAACAGGCCTATTTCCGGAAAAAGATTTGGGATCCTTATCATTTGAAAATAAAATGTTTGGATTCGCGGAACTTAAAAATGTTACGTATCGGGTCGGACCGGAAAAACGTGTCCAATGTAGGACTGTTTAGGGTTGTAAAAATTTAAACAAATTCGAAATACCTTTTTATTAAATGTAAACAAAAATTGGCATAGATAGGTAATTTTAAGAAGAAAAAAATTTTTTATTCAGTGGAGTGGAGCTTTGGCCCATATACGCAAAATATTTAGAAGTTCTCGTTCAAACAGGGGCAAACTCCCCCCTTCTCTCCGTCATAGCTGCATCACTTCAGCTTGGATTTAAGTTGCACTGAGTTCGTTTTTTTACCCCTTCATAGCGATTTTACCCCTTCATAGCGATTTTATTGTGTACAAGATGAGGCTATTTGTTGTTTCTGACAAAAATTTTAAGAGAATTATTATACCCTGGTTTTTAAATAAACTATCGAGCGCGTATTTTTTTTATTTTTAATTTTCAAAGGATTTTGCCGGAATTATATTCAAAAATATTCGCGGAAAAAAAATCTGTAGTTCAGAGTATGTATACTCGATCAGATTTAATCAAGACCTAAAACCCTTAGAACCGCATCAAATTTAGACATCGGAACTCGGCCTTTTTCAACATTTTGTAAACCGGAGAATCATTTTTTTTAAAAAAATATATACAGGAACTAGAATCCTTTTTTGTCCAGTTGGTTCTCCTTTATTTCATTTAAAAAACAGATTTTTTTATTAATTAGTAAAATAATAATACATGCTTAATTTTCAAACATTTAACCGTTTTGATAAAATGAGGGAAGGGAAAGAATCCTGAAGAAATAAGTAATTAGTTGACAATTTTTATCAGATCTCGTCCTACCCGTAAAAAATGGCAACTTAGGGGGTGAGACAGATATACTCATTTTTAAAAAGAAAAAAGGCACTCTAATTGGCATCAAAGCTAACTTAACTCGATACCAGCAGTTTTCAATGAGAAAAATTTTTGCTTCCCACGGGTCAAGTCAGGTTGGGCCGAATAAATTTGTCTCTTGCGGGTTCTCTTTTAAAAAAATAAAAATACGTGCCATTCAATTATTTTAAGATTTACTAAAAGAAGCTTTAAAAAAAACTCATGTCAATTGAGCCTCTCTCCGAAATTTGTTATCCTCCCCCGAAATATATTTATACATTAATCGGTTAAAAGATTTGTCGAGTAATTACCATATTTTTAGCCATTCTAGCCGTCTAAACCTAGTTTTTAACTTAAAACTATCTCCCTCAGCCTTGGTTTTTTTTTCCAAAAAATATTGTTCAACTTTGAAGGAATTAAAAATAAATTTACCCGCGCCTGTTTTTTTTAAAAAAGGTTTTTTGGTCCTGTCTACAAGCTTAACCGTAGAATTTATTCTTTTGGAGAAGGGATTTTGAAAGTATTTTTAAACTGTATATGGGCTCTATCAATATTATTTTTTAGTGATGCTTCTTCTTTACCTTGCGAAAAGGGTTCAAACCGGTTTTTAAAGGTTCAAAACTGAACCGATATTACTATGTTTAACGAGTAGGTCATTAATCGTTAACCATTATTTTTTTAGCTAAACCGATATCCGTTATGGTTTGTATCCCGATTAATTTATTTATTTTTAAAAAAAAATCGCCCAACGCTGTGTACAGTATTGGTACCATACATCCCTGGCTTTCATCTATCTATCTCTATACAAATAAGATCCAAAAATACACCAATAATTTTATTAATCTAATACTCTCAAAGAAAAGTAAACCTATAAATATTTAATGCTATTTAACAACAAGCAAAAAAAAAATTTTTTTTAAACTAATCCACAAATTCAATTACATTTTTTTTTTTGACAACTAATCAAATTTTATTTTACATATAAAAAATTCTAACATAATTAAATATTACTTTCTGCGAGAAAAATTTACTTTTACGCAATCGTATTGTTTCTTATGCCTAATTTATAGTAAACGCGTTATGTTCAAGCATTGCTTTATTTAACGCTATCGAAATCACAGCTGATTCTTCAATTCTTCATAGCGTTAACAGTGACACATTGAGCGTTAATATTTTTTGAAAATAACGCAAACAGCGTAATTATAAATAACGCTTTAAATTAGGTCTTGAAGAACAATTTATTAATTTTTATTTGCAATTAATGATAGCACAAAAAATAAATTTTGGCCATTTTAAAAATTTTTTATATTGCTTCTCTTATACATATTTTCGTAATATTTTATTTTACTGGAATAAGATAAGAATCAGTAATCAGGACCCGAATTCTGGTTCAAAAATTTATGTTAGGTTTGTCATTTTGAGACCAGAGACCAATTTATGGGCAACCCATCAAATCCGGGATAATATGGACCCGGGCGAGTTCGGACCTCGAAAATCGGTTTTCGATTAAGTTCCTGTTATCAAAATTTCCGCTAAATAGAGTTTAAAATTCCTGAACGTGAACTCGGGTCCAGAGCCCTGATAAAATTATGTTTTAATTATCATCTTTTAAACTTTAAACAACTTCAATGTTTTCTCTCAAAATAATTTTTTTTTTTTAAAATAAACAAATTTTAATGTACCATCAACCCTTATATTTCCAAATATATTTATTATATTTTTATAATACCAATTAGAATTACCAATCAACGCTCTTTACTCAATTATTAAGTAAGTGTTTGATTTATTTGATATTTCAAGAAACGGCAATAAAACCCGTATCCTGACTACTCTTTATTTTTGAAGCGTTTTTATGTTTAGACCAGTTTATTTAGGACACTCCTATTCTATTTTGTTTTTAAGTGTGTGTGTTTACTAGATCTAATTAGCATCTTTCTTTTTATCTTGTTTAGAGGGGAAGCTGCTATTGAACGAAAATTTTATTTTATTTGTCCCGAAAAGCCCGACCCTAAAATAAAAATTATTATGTCCTTCCCGATCTTACCCGAATTTATTTAAATGTAGAAAAATTTTAATATACTGTCTTGTCGGGTTAGAAAAATTTACAGATCAATTTTTATTTTATTAATTCATGCCTCCAAAAACGTTACATCTGAGTTTGATTTGTTCTTTAAAAAAAAATTTCGATATCTGGAAGAATTTATTTTTTAAGAATGTTCAAACATTATTTTTGATCAAATTATTAAATTATTTCTTCTGCGCATATCTTTTTATTTTTTATACAGATTATTTATTTTTTTTTAAATACTATATTTGCCATCGTTTTTGCTTGTTTTTATTTAATTTAATATATATATTTATTTTAAAAAAAGTAAATAATATTGACCAACCAATAATATATTTTCAAAAATTTTATTAAAAGATGATTTTAATCATTTTTATAATAATATAGTTAGTTATTTTGACAAGCGCCTTTCGAAGAAGAAAAAAAATATATAATATTTTTTCTTTTCTTTATAATTTACGAGGATATTTATAATGTTCAAAAAAAAATGCAACAAAAATGAAATATTACAAAAATGACCATCACACCAAATTTATATATATATATATTTTTAATATCGATTCACGTTAATAATACATATATTTTATCATTATGCCTCGTTTGTAAAAAAAAATCATATTAATTTTTCTTCTTTCTCTTTTGATGATTTGTTTTGTTGAAGGAGACAAAAAAATATATTACTTTTAGTTTTTACCCTTGATATTTGTTTTTTTAAATCCGACAAAATATTTTAGCCACAACAGCTGATGTTGCTTTTTACCATTATTACTACAATAGTTGAGTCCTGCAAGGCCAGTGGTAGCATCGTCGGGAAAATATAGGCTCGTCCCGTGACGTGATCACTCAGAAAAATATTTATGTTATATTTCCTACCCTAATTCCTCTTATTTATTTTTTGCTTGATTAAAAATATCACAAATTATAAAAATGAAATTTAACAATATTTATTTTTGTAATTTAAAATAGAAGAAATAAAGGATTATTTCTAAATTATATTTTAATAATTTTAATTTGTTCATAAATAGTGTAAACTGAATAATTTTTTTTTTCTTTTTTGAAAAATACGCATAAAATAAATGAGGATATAGAACACTATAATACTCAAGCCGATGAAATAATAAAAAAAAAAAATTTCTTGAAAAAAAATAAAATAACCAAAAATCAGAAAGGTTGGGAAAATATATCGATAATCATATTTTTTTTTTATAATGAAATAGAATGGAATAGAATTTAAATATCATTAAATTTTATAAGTTACTTTGCGTGAATATTTAAATTTAACGCCTAACATTTCCCCCCTCCCCCACATATTATGCTTTTATAACATGCCGAGACCGGCCTAGACCTTAAAAATAGTTCCACCTAGTCTTGGGTAGGTTCGGACCGGAAAAAAGAAAAGTTCTGATTTATGAAAATTTAAGAAAAAAAATGAATAATAATCATTTACATTTTATTTTTAATTTATTTATTTTTTTAAATTTAAGGATGGACATATGAAAAATGGGGATCACATTTTACAAATAGGAGACGTCAATCTTAGAGGCATGAGTTCGGACCAAGTTTGTATTTATATTTAAAATCCAGATATTTTTATACATGTACTGCCTTTTTTAAAGTTACATATTAACATTAACCGTGAATAGGCCTTCTTTCCCACGGTTCGTATTCGTGGTTCACTTTTGTAAAAATGGCCAGGCAAGGGATTTGATAGCAGTTTATCCTAAAATGGCACTTACTTCTTTTCCTGCCTTTCTAAGAATTCTTGAGGATTAATTAGAAATATCTCGATTTTAAATATTCTAGCATTTTTTACACCCTATGAATTTCAGGCAATTTTGTTTGCGAACCTTTGAACTATTCTTAAGAAAAACAGAAATAAAGAAAGATCTTTTTGTTGACGGAATGCATTAGTGGAAAATTTACTTCCTCACTTTCAATAGTGAATCTAAGCTATCGTATTATTTTAGCGGCATGATATAATTATAGTCTAAAATGTTTGTATTTTTCAATATATCACCTAAGCATTATACGTGACTTGCTGTGTATTGGTAGCAGGTTTTAAGATGTGTAATTTTCGATCCCCAAACATTGCCTTATAAATTTGTTTCTAATGATGAAAGATAGATACGCCAAAAAATATTAGCTCCTATATAAACTGTTAACCCTAGCTATGGGCCTGCAAATAGTAAGACTCATATTTAAAATAGCATCTTCATTTTATAACAAATTCTAGTAATTCAAGATATTTAAAATCAATAAATAAATATAAATTTAACACATTTTTTGGAAATATTTTTAAAGCCGAATATGTATTAGATATAACTTCTTTATCCTAATTCTGCTATCATCCCATCCATTTCTTTTTTTTTATAAAAAAAAGTGATTTATATTATAAATAATAATTTGGTGTTTGATTTTTAAAAATAAAATTAATCAAAACTTTTTAAATAGATATAGATTTAGATATATTATTTATATTTTTTTTGCGATTATCAATCTTTTTTGTGAGAAAAGTTTTTGTGGTTTGATATTATTAATTTAGCTATTATGGTAATTTTTTTTTCACTGTGTTTTATTTTTGAAACTTGATTTTGCATAAATGATAAAAACAAAAAAATTTAGGAATAAATGTTTCTTTTGTATAAAATTATTATTAAAAGAAAAATTAAAATTTATTATTCTTGGATAATGATGAGATTATACCAATATCTTTATACATTTGGTTATATGGAGATGTACGAAACTCGGAGATCGGATTTGCGCCGATTTTCGGATATCTGACAGTCACCGGACCTAATATCTATTTAGATATCATTTTGGAATTTCGACCTTCATTATCTTCGATCTACCATTTTAAAGACAATGTATCACGCGAGCCGGCCAAAAAATTTAACGTATCTTAAGAATTTATACTAGGATATTTTATTTATCTTTTCCTTCATATTTTAATATTTTTCGGCGAAATTAGCTTTCTTACTACGATTTAAAAACTTATACACGCTATTTAATAAATAATTTTTTGTCATTGATTTGAAGTACATTGCGTAGGGATCCATGCATTAATTAAGAAAATCTTTAATCGAAAGAATTACCCTTCAATTCGGACTTAGACATTAGATCTGGGGAGGGGGTCATATTCAGGGCAAAAATCTTAATGAGAATCATCAAAAATCTAAATTGGAAACATCAGAATCGGATGGTATCGACATTTAAAAAGTAACGGAAATCCGTTAAAAAAAATGCTTGAACCGCGCATCTCATAAGCGTTCTATATAATAATATACTATTTATTTATTTTTAATATAAAGGTCGCCAGCGTTCTTAGACATTGCGGACCTTACGTTAAGTTAGTGGTAGCCCGAGGAATCGTAGATATCCCATCACCTACTACCCTTGCTAATTCCCTTTACCTTCCAACCAAACTATTAAACGAACAATTGGGCATGGATATACTGCCTAGTCAGATCATAGCGAATGTTAGTTTTGCTGCATTTATTAACTAATGTTACATTAATTATTAATTATATTAAGCCTGGAAGTTTTTTTTTTAAAACCAATTAATTATTGGGGTTTGTTACCTAGATTTTTAATTTTAGGATATGGCCAAAATCTTTTTAAAAAATTGGAAAAGTTTTTAAAACTTTGGATATTTTTATTATTTTTTTTACAAAAACAAAGGTTTATTTCTTCTTTTTCGATAAAGTCGCGATTCAAATTTTTCCATATTTTGGACATAGCCCTTAAAATAATTAACAAGGTTTTGCTTTAAGGGGTAAGATTTTTTGGAAGGAAACTAAGCCATTTTAAATTTAAATACTAAAATTGGATTTATTATTAATAACTCGTATCTTTCATTAAAAAAAGAGTATATTTATTATTCCACCAGAAAAATATATTACCAGATGAACCCGAAAACTTAACGGAAGATGAATTAGTAGAAGAGAGCGAAACGTTTGAAAGAACGTTGATAAAAGGGTCTCACGGGTTAGGCATGACTATCGCCGGTTATATTGGAGGTTAGTTTTTAAATTATCAAATGATATTACATCGAAATCACTATAAAAGTCTTCACTTTAAGGGTCACCTACAGTTTATTTTAGTCAATTATAGTATGTATTACTGAAAATTCTTTCTATCGGACGGGACAAGCCATGTGGTATTACTGTGAGCAAGTCCTAATAAGCAGAAATTGGCACCTTCGTGGGTCTTAAGTTCAAATTTTTATATCTTTTTTTGAGCATTTGTCGCATTTGATTTTCGCTTGCATTGTTTCGGAAGTAAAGTGTAACTGATTGCAAAAAAATAAATACTTTACAACACTAACCTTGAGAATTTAAGTAACTTTAAACCTCACCTTTAAAATGAAAAGGTTTTCGATTTTTAATTAAAATATATTATTCGAACATAAGAAAGAGGAAGGGAAGAAAAGGTAGAAAGAAAGTTTTTAATTGCATTTTTATATTAATGCCCAATACGCATATATAATTGTGTGACATTTGTAATAAACTACATTACCGAACTATTTTATCATATTGAATAATAATATTATAAACCATCGATTATCCAACATTGGGAGTTCCCCCCCTGCTTTCAATCTAAATGCGTAGTTTAATCTCATAATTGGAAAGATATAAAATCATAGTCACACTCCGACTTAATTTAGAAAAGATACATATTTCTAAAAAATTATGTAGAATTTAATAAACTATCTATTTTATAATAGACGAAATTTCAGGGATATTTGTTAAAAGTATAGCCATTGGGAGTCCTGCCAATCTTGACAGCTACATAAAAATCAACGATCAAATTGTCGAAGTAATGTAGTTTCATTTATTTTATTCTTTTGTACGAATTAAATTATTCGATTTTTTTAAAGGGATCGATCACAAATAATTCATTTTTTGAACAGGATATATTTGAACTATGATATCCCCTTAATTGGCACTTTTATCAAGACGATATTCAAAGAGAAAAAATTGATTTATTTTCCCATTTTTTTTAACAAAAATATTGATATTTAGGTTGATGGCCGTACCTTGATAGGAATGAGTAACCAAGATTCTGTCGAGGTGTTGAAAAATACGGGGAATAAAGTCCATTTGAAGTTCGTTAGATATCTCAAGGGTTCCAAGCATGAACAGCTGGAACATCACACTGGTAAATTAGTATACTTTTAACATTATTTTTTCATATTTTTTTTCGTAATTACGTGTATTAAATTTATTTTTGATATTCGTTAATGAGCAGGACCACCCCCCTCCCCAGAGGGGTAACAAATACTTCCCATGGGTCGGCAATCCAATTTTTTACGGATTCCCATACGAATTTTTGTTTTTTGCATTGCGCCTCTGATCCCTAAATATTATAAAACGGCTGATAAATAAGTCTTACATCGATTTTTGATGAATTCCATCAGAATAAAATTATAAATAAAATGGTGACTTGATTTTTGTAGGATTTTAGCACCTTGGGAAATTAAGTTATGGCCCTTATGAGGTCCTTTCTAACCCCATTCTCTCAATGATAATATAAATATACGAGTGCTGTGCCTATAATAAAATATTGTTCTTATCATGTTTACTAGTTGGAATGTTGATTAATATATAATTTTCATATTTTTTTAAAAAGTTTATTCTCTGATTATTCCTTAAAATCATTATTTAAATATTCGATAAATCAAGAACATGAAGAAATGGATAATGCCGTTCCTCAACCACCCTCAGAAACTGAAGAAATTAAACCCGGCTCTAAACCGGCAAAGGAGCTTCCTACATCTCGAATAGAGTCAAACATTCCTCAATCATCACAAAACGGGTATCACGTCGAAGAGAAGGAGAGCGAGAGGGAAAAATTGATTTCTTCCGAAGGACAAGAACGGGAAGAAAGATCGACGGATGAATCTTCCAGCAAGATCAAGCCCGAATACCTGACTGTTTCCCCTACACCCAAACCTCATTATGATGAAGGTAAAAATAAAAATTTCATCCATATTTAGCGATCACTTTTCGCATAAACTGTATATGTAAGTATGGAGTCTTTAGGGTTTAATCGGATTGGTCTGTATAAAAAAGCGATAACATCTCTAGTTATATATCTGTAATATACCATGGCTCAAAAAAAATATGTCGCGTTTTGAAATCTTTATAACTTTAAAACACATCCTTTTGTTTAATGAAATAATACCATATTTTATTAAAGAATATATTGAACTTATAATCCCTCAATTATTAATTTTTCAAAAACGGGCTAGATGGGTTACCTGTGGTAGCTGGTCGAAATTTTCCTAATCATTCAAATTAATTATGTCAGTATTTATTCAAATAAAGTAACCCATGACCGGAAAAAAAAATAAAATTAGACAATAATTATAAATTTATTTATCAATAGAAGATTTTATAATCATAAAATTATGCCACGAATTGAAAAATTGGAATGCACTAATGATTCCTTACTCCCTAGCAAAAGTTGAATATTCTCTCAGTTCAACGAGCTCTTTAAATCAACGCGGAAAATACTGGATTTCATATTCCGAAAAAGTTTTTAGTTTATATTTAAAAAAAATTAGGCTACAACTTTTTGGATCTTTTAGATAAACTTGAATAATATAATTCTTGAAATATGGCCTTTAATTCCAAGAAAAGTTGGCTTTCGATTAGTGGATAGATGTTAGGTGTTGTTCAATAAAATATAGGGAACGTTCCAGTATATATTTCTCTCCTTCCTTCCTCGAAGTATGCATCCGTTTTGCATTATCATTTATAAATTATTTATTTGGTAAAAGTTTTTAAAATAAATGACGAGCCTCCGGCTATAATAGTTCAAATTGGAACCCATCTTTGAAAGGAAAAAAATTGATGGTCTTGAAGTTATTTTTTTTATCTTAATTTTTTTACCGATTCGATTTAAATACTTTTTAAAAAACGAATGACGCGTTTTAGAGTTATAAAAATTTCAAAACGGGGCCACATCTTTTTTTTAATCCACTAGGAATATCCTACAAGTGTTGTTAAACGGCTTGTTTTGAGCCCATTTTTAGAAACCGCTAACTTAATATATATATATATATATTGTCTAAGCCTCTAGATTTCTCTAATAGATGTCTAGACCTTTGTAACATTTATGAGCAAAATCTTCAGGCTTGCGTATTATTTTTTTGAATAAAATATTGAGTTAGCCCTTTTTTAAGTAGACTCAAATCGAGCTATTTAACAACACTATATATTACACCTTCCTTTCTTTTTTTTTAAAAAAAGTTTTATGAATCCTTTTTACAAAACAATAAAATTAAGTGCAATTTGAAAACGCATTTTTCAATCAACATTTAGAGGTCCAATTTTTTTTTATTATACATTAATTAACTATTATTTTTTGTTATTCTAATCATTATAATATAATATTTAAAACCAATAGTTTCTTATTGATGTTAAACATATTTGCTATATTGTAAGGCAAACTAGCGATATAAATTTTAATATGAGCCAATTTTTAGGCGTTTTTGAAACTTACTCTAAAAAATATATAATAAAGGATTAGTTATTTCCAATCTACAACACTTTACTTATAAAAAAAATCTTTGGCCACCAGAAACAAGGGATTACTATCGTAAATGGTCGTCGGTGCTAGGCCCCGACGCTCTGATCGTGATATCCGAATTCGACAAATTTAAACAAGGTGGCGGTTTGGGAATAAGCCTAGAAGGAACAGTGGATGTTACGGAAGACGGAACCGAAACCAGTCCTCATCATTACATTAGGTCCATCTTGCCGGACGGACCGTTGGGTATCAACGGAAAACTGAGAAGCGGAGACGAGTTATTAGAGGTTTTATAAGTTGCACAATATTACAATTGTTTAAATAGTTTTGTTTTTTTAAATTTTCTATTTTATTTTCTAATTAATACGTTCCCGTAAATCAATCAAAAGGTTAACGGACAAATTCTTTACGGCAAAAATCATAGGGAAGTAGTTAGGGTCCTCAAGGAAACTCCCTTAAGAGTTATAATTGTATGCGCCAGAATCAAAACTTCTCCATCTTCTTTGGATAGGGAGGATTTGGAAAATGTAGAAGCGATCGAGGGTTCGATACCCAGTTCCTATTTTTTCTTACCTTCCACCAGGCCTTTCACACCGGAAGAATCGTTAGATACAAGAGCCCAGTCTCAGCAATATTTCGTGAATGAGGAGGTCGACCGAAGGGAATCAGGTTGGTATTTTCTTTTATAAATATATCAGGGAATTTTAAAAACCGTTTTTCTAAAAGTGGTCTTAACTACCCGCCCCGAATCCATATTATCCCGGTTTTTTGGATTGTCCATAAATTCTGATGGTTTCAAAAAAGCCCAACCAAACAATTTTAAAATTTTAAACCCCAATTCGGTTCCAGATTTCTAATATATATTATCGTCCCCCAAAATGCTAACATTGATTATAAAATATAACATGAAAGAATGATCTCATTGACCGAATCATAAGGATCAACTTAAGTTGAAGATGCCATGATCATATTTTGAATGGGTTTTTTCTGAAAAAAAAGTTTTCCCAACCCCTTTTCATCGGAATTCTTTTTTAAAGAAGGTTTTAACTTATTTGTTGTTCCAAAAATCATGCAGAGCCCCCCTTCCTCTTTATATAAGATGCCTTTTATTACATTTTTCTTTTTGTAATATTCGAAAAAGTTTATCCTATACCTTCGGGAAAGAACCATACAGCTCTTGCTATAATATCAGGCTATTAAAATCCCTGTCTCCCTCTAATCACTTTTTTCATGTTGGATTAACTATTTTAACATTTCCTATCTTTTCAAGGCGACCGCTTGTTCAAGGCCAAATCTGAAGGTGCTATATCCTTAGGTCTTACCGATTCGCTACACGATATTACCGCCGATTCCGTTAGAATAAAATCTAGATCTCTAGAACCCATGCATGGCTTGGCTATGTGGAGCAACAAAACCATCGTTGTGGACCTCATCAAAGGGGATAGGGGCCTGGGATTTAGCATACTAGATTATCAAGTTTTTTTTTTAATTTGTATATTACTTTTCTCGGCCCATCACACTACATTAGAGTTTAAAATGTAGTATCTGTATCTAGGTACACTTTTATTAAAGTATCTGTCTATATATATTTTAGAGGTATTTGTATCTGTTTTAGGTATTTTTTAATATTCAATCTGATATACTTTTTAACGCTTTTTTATATTAAAAATAAAATAAAAAATTTTTATTTATGATATATTAAAAAATATTGACAAATATAATAAAAATATATTTAGTATTAAGACTTATATATAAAAAGAAAATTAATTCAATATTATTTTTTTCCTTTTAAATATATAGACATCAGTTCAAGATTGTGAAAGATATATTTTTCATGTAAAGGAATATATAAATCCATGTTTAGCCATTGCCCCCATTAATTATTAAAAACAATACATTAATGCACAAAATTATTTTGTTAATAAATTTATTTAGAATTTTTTAAAATAATTTTATAGCTATTAATGAATAAATTATAAGTTTTTTTAAAATAAATGCTCGTTTTAAATGAGAATTTGTTCGAAAGAACAATAAAAATATACTGGTATTGACATTTTTTTTATATGGTGTTAGAATTGATGAGAACAAGAATATAAAAATTTGTTTACGTATTTTGTGCTCTCATAATAAGAGTTTCTATTCGAAAACAACGCAAACCCTGTTTATGAGTATAATAAAAATTTGACAATGTATCTCTATCTAGAATTTTAAATGATATATCTCTAACTAGATCCATTTGAAAGTATTTTTTTTAAAAACTCCGCACGATACACATATATATATAGAATTATCTAGTCACATTTTTTTTTATCTTTTATACATTACCCTACCTAAAGTCTTAGAAATTTTATAAAATGTATATTAATACCAATATCTATTACATATTTGTTCATAAACCCCTTCCCCAAGGATCCCGCAAATCCTAATCACACGGTTATAGTTATACGTAGTTTGGTGCCGGGCGGGCAAGCCCAATTAGACGGAACTATCGTACCTGGTGATAGACTCTTATTCGTTAATAACGTGAATTTGGAAGGTTTGACCCTTGATTCTGCCGTTACCGCACTTAAAAGTGCTCCCAAGGGGTTAGTGAGGATTGGCATTTCCAAACCCATGCCATTTCTTGTAGAGGAAGGGGAAGGAAGCTCGGAGTACTTGAATAAGGTATCATCTTTTTTTTTAATAAAGATTTAACTACAATATATTTATATAAATTATTAATACATTTTGTCTCTTAAATGTGACGGTTAGCAAACATAAAACCGTTTACTTCTATTAATTTTTTTTGCCGTTTTAAACCGTTGTCACTTTTTTAGTCGATACTCAAACTGATACCACCAATATCAAAAAGGAATAATTAAAATATTTGTTGGAAAAGAGGAAAAGATATGACAGAAAGAAAAAATATCATTTCTTAATTTATTTATAATTAATTTATAGAAGTGGGTTAAATGAACTCTAAAAAGGTTTGGTGAAGCTAACACAATCCACCCACCTTACTTTATTCTTTACATTCTAAAACGATATTCTTCTCATTTATAATTCAATATTTTATTTATACTTGGCTTTTTTGATATTTATAATTTAGAAATTATCTAAATATATTTTTATTTTTCAATAACAGAAATTTACACCCGATAGAGAAATCAAAGAGAAAATCGTCCTTCCAGTACCTCAAGAAGAACCTGTTAAAGCGGAAGACCTATTTTTACCTTATGTAAAACAAAAAGAATTAATTATATTATTAATTCCATTACATCTTTTTTTAATAGTATTTAGTTTCATTATTTATTTCCCCTTTTTTTTAATCATTATGAATATTACTTGAATTTTGAAAATTATGTCTTTAGAAAAAATAGCATATTGGGTGATAATTTTTTTTAAATAAATAATTATATTAGTAGTGAGATGCAAAATCGCTCCATTTTAGGCGATTCTTAAAAACGGCTAACTCATTATTTTAGCTAGAAATATTGTTTAAGCCTTCGAGATTTCATTAAAAGATATTCAAACATTTGTGTCATCTATGAGCAAAATCTTCAGGCTTGCTCTAATATTTTTCTGAATAAAATGCTGAGCTAGCCGTTTTTAAAAATCGGCTCAAAATAGCTATTTTTGCTTAACTAGATGTTAATCATTTCAAGTTACATTTGAAAATCTTTTAAAATTAAGCCAATAATATTTTATAAAAAAAAGAAAAACGTAATTATTATTAATTGTAAATTGTGTAATTCTATTAGAAAAACGAACTGGCCATTGAAGACAAGCCACTGTTCACCATCAAAGATGCCGAACCGTTGTCACCTTTTCAAGTATATATTATAATCTTTATTATATTATTAATAACACCCTTTTATTCAACAGGAATCATCTGGTCCTAACAAATACGTATATAAGACTCAAATTAATTTAAGGCCATCGCTTTCTGAAGACGAAATCCCCTCTTTCAAACCTAAAAAAGACGAAATTCCTGTATTACCACCTTTGCCCCACGCGTTAGAACGTGTCATCAAAATCAAAAAGGGACTCCTTCATTTGGGTCAGGCATGTTATAGTGATTTTTTTTTTAGGATCTCATATTTTTGGCCAAGATTCCCCCGTTGCTCCATGGCACAATTTTTTTTTAATTTTAGATATAGGCTTGGTATATTTTAAAATTAAATATTTAGAAATCTCTTTTGATAATTTAATGTTTAATTATTTTATTCTATTTATTACAAAATACTGATTTTTTTTTAAAAAAAATTTTACTTAATTTTTTTTTAAATTCAGACTGGCGAGGGCCGGCCTAAGACTCTAATATAATTGTATATATTATATGTTTCAAATAAAAAAAATTTGATGATCTGCATCACAAAAGGATTGACGCTAGAACCCGAGGGTATAGGCACCAATGGTTGCATTGTTTCTTCCGTAAGCCCCGATGGAGCTATAAAAAGGGATGGTAGAGTTAAAGTGGGAGATTATATAACTTCCATCAATAACGAAAGTCTTAGATACGTGACTCTTAACCAGGCTAAATCTATTTTATCCAGGATATCCCTCATAAGCAGTGATATTAGGTCTGATATTTTGTTCTTATGATACAAATTGTTTCCTTTCTTTCATTTTAAATTCATGAAATATTAAATAAACGATAACTTAAAAGTTTATCTGTAAATTGGTTTGTAACCAGAACCTTTTTTTAAATAATTTTACCGAACCAGAATTAAAACCAATTTTTTAATTTCCAGGGAAATTTATTATAGTCATATTTTTTTAAAGAATAGAATTACCACTATATTAATTGAATTAAATTTTTTTTTTTAAATAGCTTAAATTACATTCCTTCCGATGACGCGGCCATTCATAATCAATCAGCCATTATGGCCTTGCAAGATGATTCAACACATTCCATCAATTTATATGATCAGTAATTTCCATACGCATTGCATATATTAATAATTTTGCCTGAAATTTATTAATTATATTTTGCTCATTGTATCATCTTTAATGCATCATATTTATACTATAGTATATATAATAAAGAATGTGTGATTATGAATATTATATAAATTATTTGTGGAATGTATTTACCGCAAAAAAATATCTTTATGGCATGCAGTTTCTGTTATGCATTTATGTTTAAATTGTGTATTGTTTTTTTAAAAAAATTGATATTTATTTTATTTTATGAAAAATTTTTAAATATTTTATTCAAAATGAACTAAATTTTTATTATTAATAATTATTATATACATAGTATTTAAATTTTAAATGCATGATTAATTTAAAATTTGACCTTTATTTAAAGCTTGAATTTTAGTTCTATATATATAAATTAAATACAATACTACTAATGGTATTTAGATTTATTATAAGTAATTGATAAAAAAAATTATAAGCTGTTTTAATGGCTTTAAATTATTATGATTATATCATACATTATGAATTGACAAAAGTTAAAGGTTTATTTTGTTAATGCTGAATCTAAAGTAAGATAATAAAATTAAAATTATCATATTTTGACCAACTATTTTACCTCTCTAAATTTACCATGCTTAAAAATATAAGATATAGCATGAAAATTGAATATATCTGTTGGAACAGGCTCTTATGATTTTTCTTTCAGTCTATGGGATCCATCTAGATAACACTGTAAGCCAGTTCCCCGTCAAATCTCTTTTATTCACGACCCTGCTCTATCTTCTCTTCTCACTATCTGCCATCTTCTCATATAATATCTTAGATGAGCTTTGTTCCCATCTTGGGCATCTTTCCCATAAATCTTTTATAACACCAATTGGTATCCAGTTCTTTGCCAGTTTTTATCTTCATTCTCATCTCCATTATTCCCAATTTGGTTTTACGTATTACAATTATTGATCATGGCCTTAAATTTTTGATTTTTAAATTTAAAAAAACGCACTCAAAAAAAATGATTTAAAGTTGAAAAATAACACCATTGAACATGTATATTATTACATCATATTTAAAATCAAATATATTATAAAAGTTGTTTTTTTCTGGCTATTTTTATTTGCTAAATTTTCTATCTTCTCAATATTCAAATTGTGTACAATATCATTCTTTCTCCAGTAAAACAATCGATAAATTATTATACATGTTCTATGTATAATACTCGATCTTAAATAAGTGGGTGTTTTTTTATAAGTTTTTAAAAAGCTTTTTGTGACACAGGAAACTCGAAAAAAATTTGATGGATTGCTTAAAACTTTCTAATTTATGACGCCCTAAAAATAGCATTATTGACGTTCAGGGCAAATTCTCGAAAAGCCCATTACTTGGGCCAGTGCTGTTTCTGATGAATTTGACCAAGAGATCTCCTACAATGAAATATAAACTTGGAAGAAATAAGAGTAATATTTGTTTTGTTATAGTAGATAAAATAAATATCAGCTAATAGCATATTGAGTTTTAAAAAAATACATAAATTAAATTAAAATTATGCATAGAATTATAAAAATGATCGAGCCTACTGTGGTGTTTAAGATACAAAAAAGGTTTTGTAAGAATAAAATATAATTTTATTTTAACAAAATAAGTTTTAACTTTAACAATAATATGTTTTTATTTTCATAGAAAGTACACCATAAATTGTATCCTTAAACAAAATACAATTTATTTAATATTGATACATCTACATTTACCGCCATAGCCAGAAATTTTTAAATGAAAGTGGTTGCAATTTTTTTGAAAATTTTTACAATGATATTAAGTCAAATTTATTTCTATAATTAAAACTATTTATTTGCATTGCACAAATCATGTTTATTTTAAAATATTTAGAATTTTACTTCTGGTTTTTAAATGTCCCCACGTAGTTTAGGCCTTGCTTATATTTAAATTGGAATGTAAACTAGTAGAATATAAAACTTGTTCGCCATAATTTCCTTTAAGTTGGTTAAAAAAAATACTCTCATGGGTATCTCCCCCTTTTTTTTTATGCGAAATAAGTATTTTTATTAATAATTACTTGTATATTTTTTATCTGCATTTCACTTTTTTCTTCCTATACTAATCAATATCTTTTATAAGTATTTTCATAGTCTTAAAAAAATACTAAAGTTTCAATATTTATTTTATCTCATGATTAGATATGTTTATTAGCGTTACGATTATTAATAAAAAAAAAAGAATTAATTATTACTAATAACTAGTATTGTTAAACGGTTCGATTTGAGCCCATTTTTAAAAACGGCTGTCTCAATATTTTGTCCAGAAATATATTTCTCAAGTCTAAAGATTTTTTTTATAGATGGTACAAAGATTTGGACATTTATTAACAAAATCTCGGGGCTTGGAGAATTTTTCTGGCTAAAATATTGAGTTAGGCGTTTTTAAAAATCGGGCCGTTTAGCAAAACTAACTATAACAATCCCATTATAATTGTTTGTGTTTTTAAAAAAATTATTTCTTTAGCAATAATGCTTCAAAATACTAAACTATATTTTATCCTTATAATTTATCTAACATTTGATCAGGTAGGTACCCTGAATTGACAGCCTGTTTTTAAAATTTATTTAATACGACCTTTTTTGGTTAGTAATACAAATTAGGAATAATAGTTTAATAATTTATATTTAAAAAAAAAATCTTATTGTAAGAAAGGGTTAAAAGTATATTGTCATATTGGGACATGAAATTCATGAGGAATTTAGAATCGATTTTATATCATTTTACCGAGGTGAAATTTTTTAAATTTAAAAAAAACCTGATTTGACCGGAAAATTATATCAACGTGTAGAGAGTTGTGTTGATTTTTAAAAGCGACCTGATTAAGATTTTAGTCAAAATAGTATTATGTTATCTCGAGATTTAGCAGAGAAAGGTCTAAACCTTTCTGTCAACTATGAGCAAAATCTCCAAGTTTTTATAATATTTTGGATAAAATCTTAATCGGGCTGGACAACACTAGTGTATAGTATCTAATCGTAAATTTCAGGCATTTATCATGAACTTATATTAATTTTTATGTATATTTTTCATATAAATATACAAAATTTGTTGACGGAAATTGTCTGAAATTAGATAGGTTACTTCACACACGCTAGAATACATTTCCAGTAAAATTAGATTTTAAGAATGTTTTTCAGTAAATGATTTAAAACTGAGAGATTCCGAATTCTCATGTATTTCATATCCTAATTACGATGTGTGATTGAATTCATATCGATTTTGCTTGTCTCATATTTTTATTTATATATTCACTTTATTTTATTTTAGTGTAAATTATATTATGCTATCTATCGTTCGCGTATTCCTTGAATTATATTAATTATCACCCTTGTAAAATAATTCCTCAATTCTTATATTTATTGTAATTTTAAATTTAATAAATAAATATTTCAAATTTAATTTTGCATGCATTCGATTACATTAAAATTTCTATCATAAATGTACCTGTTAAATTATATCAGATTAACCTTTTTAAATACTTTAAATTTTGAGGGGTATAAAGTTATCAATGCAAGATTTAACTGTGTATATCAAATACGTCGACAGCCTGATGGAACGCTTGATTGAAGATATAAGTGAATCTCTGACCCAGGCGATACTCGAAAGTCATATATCGGAAGATAAAATTCAAGAGTATTTACCTCCCCCTCTTCCTCAATCGCAACAAGATTTATTACTTAAACATGATACGATTAGTCCTTTGTACCCAGAAGAAGATATTACGCCAGTCAGTAACGAAAGCTTAGAAATCCAAGAAATTTTGAAAAGTGATATTAGCCCAGAATCGCAAACAGAATTTGTTCCGCAAGCAATAACAACTTCTACCGAAGATGATAGAACGAATACCACAGAAGACAATCGTTGGAGTCCTCCCCAATTTATTGAACTCACTAAAGATGATAACCAAAGCTACGGTTTTAAAAAAGCTCTAATTGTTTTTCAATTTTAGAATATATATATTTTTTGACAAAAACAAATTAGGATTAAGTATCGTGGGTGGAACTATAGAGAGTGATCTTAATCCAGATTTTGATGTTCCCGTCGCGGGTATATTTATCAAAAATGTGTTTCCCAGCGGACCCGCTTTTAGAAATGGGCGCCTAAAAACGGGCGATAGAATTTTAGAAGTATTTTGTATAAAATTTACGCTTATTTTCCTTTTCTTTTTCTTAGATCAACAATTATAAAGTTAACAACTCAAGTTTGGATGAAGCCGTTAAAATTATTCGGGAATCCAAAAATCGAGTACAGTTTTTGGTACAAAGTTTGATGGGATCTAATGAGGTATTTTTTTGCGATTGATTTAACAATCTTAATATATCTTCCTCTTCATATTTTTCTTCTAGATACCATACACATTCACATTTACTCCCAAAAAATCTGATACCACAAATATATCTACTATCGGTGCCGATAATCAAAATATTGATAATACCACACCGGAGAGTTCTCCCCCTTCTTCAAAAAGAATTTCGACGGTTTCCACCCTTGTTTTCGAACCAATCTCAACTAAAATTAAAGAAGACCTAACTAATCAAGGTAGAAGGGATACAGCATTCAAGCCCAGTACGATAAATGGCATACCATTTGAATCGGGGGCAGGTTCTGTGCTAACGAATGTCCAAAGTTCTTTGAAAATCGATGATAGCACTCAGATTTATCCTATAGATACATCAAAAAATTCTATCTCAAGTAATATGCAAAAGTATACCAGCACCGTAACACCCCTGAGTCCATCAAGGTTATCTTTAGCGACACCTTCGCTAGGATTTATTCAAGAGGAGTCATCGCAATCAAAAATTCCTACCCCCGTTAAAGTAAATTATAAATCTATAGATCAATTAAAAAAAGAGTTTTTTGAGCGACATTCTTTGACCAATGTATCGTCTCTTCCCGCGAGAGAATCCATTCCTTTATCGTATAGTCCCACTAATTTTGTTACCCCGGATTCGATGAACCGTCAATTGCGTTTCAAAGTTCCCATAACTTCATTTATGCAAAGACCTCAGTTAGAATTGTTATTAGGACACCCCAAAGCCTATACAGCTAGTCAAACGAAACTCCAACCCAAATCGCGTAGATTATCGTCTCCACCTCATCTTAATAGGATGAGTAATGTAACAACATTCGATCTCAATACTGCATATACTAAACCGTCCTTAACCTCTTTAGCAGCAACTAAAAACGACAAAATTTTATCGAAGCGTTTATCGGAACAACTCCCCGGTAAATATACCCCCATTATACCCATATCGACCGTTATAAATCCAGCCCCTTCTTTGTTCTTCGAAAGAATAACCATACCAGTTGACAAGACAGAGACTTCTTCGCGATCTCTATTGGCCACTCCCCTTGATAACAATGCAATTTCATCACCTAATCAAGTTTTATCATCTCCCGAATACTCCTCTTCATCGAGTGGGAGGATCTCATCAGAAGGCTCAAGCAATAATGGTACTCACACTATGTCTCCCCCAGTTATAACCCCGCAAACAAAAAAATCTTTAATCCCCATGGCAAAGAACGAAACTGAAAATATTTTACTGCAACAATTAAAACCGCCAATCGATCCCTCTAGTCTGAACGTCAAAGATGATGAAATCATCAAAAAGCAAACCTGTGTTAATAGGTAAACTGTTTTTATTTTTTTGTTAAATTTTAGTTTATAATATAATGAACGGGGTGGCATTTATACAATTTATTTTCCCGCGAATTTTAGCGATGGCGCAACAAAAACCGTTATTATCGAAGATGAAACGGTAAAAATCAATATTTTTTTTTTAATTTTCGGGCTAATGTTTAGGCATCCATTGGTGATCCTGATTATAAACTCTTATATTGCGTGCTAAAGAGACAAAAATATGATATATTTAGATAAAAAAAAAATACATGTATTGCTTAAAAAAATATATATATTAGGCCTAATGCTAAACATTTGCCCCTTCCTATTGATTAATATGTCATACATATGAATTATTTCTATAATATAAAAAAAATTTAATTTGTGATTTATTAATTGAGAAAATTTTGATTTATTTTATTTTCCTAACTTCCATAGAGGTTCAGGGGGTTTGAAAAGCTCTAAAGCCATTTTTTTCTTCGCAAAAAAAAGTGCCACAAAAAAGCATAAAAAATACTCTTTTTATTATTATCTTCTTTTTTTTAGATACACATTAACCCTAAAAAATTATCGCTAATATCGACTATATCATCATCCCTTTCAAGTGTTCCAAGTTCGCCGACTAGCGGTAAATTCATAAAAAAAAATAATTTATACAAATTTTGTGTGGTTAATTTCTACTTCTAGTGTTGTTTTAATGTAACATTTTTAGAAAATCTATAACTTTAACTGTAATTTGAGTTTAATTATATATTACCAGATAAGTTGTTTATCCATAACCAAGCATTTTATTTTAGGGTAAATATAACTTTAGCTAGTTACATTCTAAGTATCTTAGATGTAACTTTTTTAAAAATTTTACGAGTTATACTTCAAATTTGCATCTTTTGAAAAATACAACAATGCAACTTTTAATTTATAACTTATTCATTTTAATTCGTTATAAAATTTTTACATAACAATAGTCCCTTATATTTTTACATTTAAGAAATCATTCATTCATTAATTCTCTGGGTAATGATATATTACGTTAATTCACGTCGAAAATTTATTAAAATGCAATAAGATCCATTTATTTTTTAGTATATATTAACGGAATCACGTGAACTCCCCCCCCCAAAGACGGAACCGCCTAGTTGACTTTAAATAAAAACATGACCCTTGCTGGAATCGAACCCAGAACTATCGGATTGTGATACACGCACTGAACCGATTAGGGCACAGACCCTACTCGAAAAAGATCAAATTGTGTATAAAGATAAAATTATGATGTTATCTAATATTTTAATATAACACAGAAAAAAATCGACCTCACCGATATACATCAATATCATCTTATTTTATAATATTATTATAAATAATTTATTTGTAAAAAAAAAAAATATAATGCATTCATCGATATAGGACAATAAAAACACGGAAATAATTAGTATTAAAAAAAAAGGAAAGAAGCTATTATAGTTTATCACCTAGTTATCACCCTATATCTATTAGCTATCCAATTAAGCAAAACATTCCAAAAAAGGTATAGATGGGACAATGATGTCTATTATTTACCCATTCCTCAAAGGTTTAATTCCTATGTGATGAAAAATCTACAATTTTATTCTATAAAAAACTTCAAATACTTATCCCACAATATACGGTTATTTTCCAATGCCTTTCTATCGAAATGTCTTAATATAGTCTTTGAAATTCGTTTTGGGATCGACGCCATACAAATGCTACTAATTTTTACAATTCAGGAATTTTTCAATTAATAATTTATTTTTCTTTTATCCGTTGTCTTTGTCCCTTATTTGCATTATGCATTATATTTTTCTTTTCGAATAAATGTTTATTATACCAATGTATAGTAATAGTTGTATAAACTATGATAATGTGTTATGTCATTAAAGTTTTTATCATATTATTAGATAATATTATTATTAGTTTACTGACCGATTCGCATGAAATTTATCGAATATATATTATATTACTTACAAAAAAAAAGAGATATAAAATAAATTTAGATATGATTTTTTTGTTGATATAATATCTTATATTTCCGATTTGAATCATTTTTGAATTTGATCAACTTTTAGAGACTTGCATGATGATTTGCTACCAGAGTCTCCTACTGTTGGAATTTCATTTTTACATAAAATTTTATATCTACTTTTTTGTTGTTGTTGTTGGTTTCCGCTAGGAAGATAAAAATTAAAAAAGATGGATAATTTTGAACAACGGAGCCAAGTTTAAAGAATAAGATTAAATCGAGAAAAGTGGGAACGTAAGTTGCAATATGAGACTCTGATAGCAAATAGTTACGCAACGAGTCTCTAGAAAAGTAGAAGGAATGCCAGAGTAAAGATGTTAAAATAGGCGAGAAACTATTTTGCTACATCTCAAAGCTAACTTTAATCCTTGGTGAGTAAAGAAATATGGTTTTAATTACGAGGAGGGACTACGATGTGTTTTGGAGATATTTATCAGTCAAGAAGTTGGATTTCATTTGTTTTTTGGGGGGGACGGCTCTGGATGTTTACTGAAAATATGTTTATGAGAAATATAATTGTTTTTTTTTGTTTGGTGTTTCAATCTCTACCAATAAAAGGTATAACGCTAAACAGAGGCGAGTTTCCCTTTCCTTTCTTTCTTTCTTTCTTTCTTTCAATCGAAATATAAGTAAATAATTTGCTTAAAATATATATATATATAAATGTCAACGATCATAAGAGAAAATATAAAAATGATACTACTAAATTTGAAATGGTAAAAATTCTGGTATATCAGGCTAAAATAAATCGAATAATTTACCATAAAAAATTGCGTGGGATTTTTTTTTTATAAAATATTTTAAAAAAAATTGCGTGGGAAGATAAAAGTTAAAAAAATTTTTTATAAATTACTATAAAAAATAAATGGATGGAAAAAAATATGTAAAGGTAACCGGAAACGGAGAAGAAGAAAAATTAGAATAAACTTTTTAAAAAAAATTATAACAAAATGAATGGAAGGAAAAAAAACTCGAAATGTGGAGAAAAATTAAGTTTGAAAATAAAAGTCAATATAATAATCGATGAATGGGTTTGAAAGAATTAATTATACAAAGTTAGGCGAAAATAGAGGAAAAAATCCCAGGTTAAAACTAAAAAAAGAATAATTTTGAAATATTTAAAAAATGGGGGGAAAATATATAAAAAATAAGAATAAAAGGTCGAAAAATTTATTAAATTTTTTTTTTTCTAACAAAACAATTATAAAATATTCCAAAATCTGGAGAGAAAAGAAAAATTAAATATATAAAAACAAATGTATTAACTTGATAGTTTTAGCTAGTATTAAAAAGTAGCTAAGTCTACTAAAATTACAAACCTATATTTATTGGCTATTTTCTCAAAAATCTAATAATTATGCAATTTTCCAATCATAAACTATAATATAATAAAAATAAAAAGGCGCTCATTCTATAAAAAGGAATTGGGACCTCAAGTTTCTTAACAAGGCGCTAATAATTATATTTTTTAAATGGTAATTTGAATTATTTATTTCTTAGTTTGTAAACAAGCTTAGTTTGTATATTAGCTAACTTAGTTTAAACTAACTATTTTTTTAAACTAGCTAAACCTCTATTTAGTTTGTAAACTAGCTAAAATTTTATATTAGCCAACTAGTTTTTAAAACTAGCTAAGCCTCTATTTAGTTTCGTAAACTAGCTAAAATTTTATATTAGCCAACTAGTTTTTAATACTAGCTAAGCCTCTACTTAGTTTCGTAAACTAACTGAGTTTCTATATTAGCTAACTCGTTTTTTAGACTAGCTAAGCCTCTACTTTGTTTGTAAACTAGCAAAGTTTATTAGCTTTAACATATTATGACATACATTGAGAATTTATAAAAGTGACGAATGGTAAAAAAACGAAACAAGAAAACCTTAAGAATGTATAAATTAATTGATTTCATTTATACTTTAAAATATGATGTTCGATAATTTAACAAGACGGAATAAATAACGAATTATTTATATAATCAATAAGTAAAATACTATAAAATTCCTGAACTATGTACTATAATAGATAAGGCCCGCCTATCATGTTGCAAAGGGTTTTGATTTTGATTTAGATTCCTTTCTTATAATTTGGGACATACGGTAGGTCGGAAGGAATGAAGGGAGATGTTTTGTAAAATACACCAATACGCTTTATAGCGGCGTCCTATAATGTCAGGGTGTCCTTGCTTTTTTTTCTGAATAGAGCACACATGTCGGGATGAGCCAGAACATTGCCTATCAGTTATCAATTCTTTCTCAGTATTTTATCTAAACTTCAAAAAAGAAAAACATTTAAACTATCATTCCTAGCGGATCCTAAGAGGTTTCATATGGCTCGCACATGTTTTAAAATAAAAATATTCTTAACAAGATATAATTATTTTTTAATAAAATGAATGTAATTATTCCCAGGCTATTTTTTCTAAATAAAAATTGGAAAAGGGATTCGTTTAATTTATATTCATGATTAGATGGTTCGCTATTGCATAATTTATAATTAATATAAAAAAAAAATTCGGCATATAATATTTTATATGCCACTATTTTTTTTTTACTATTAGATATTTATGATTTAAAAATATTCATTAAGTTCTTTAAAATATGCAACTGGCTTCATACTTTTTTTGTGGATGGTAAATTTTAAAGGAAATTTATAGCAGGACAATAAATTACTATATAGTATGTCGTAACTAATGTTGTATATATATTACTATATTAGCGATTCCAATTAATTAAAAGTATAGGGGGGAGATCTTGTGAGCCTTGATTTTCTTCTATAGTACTCAACTCCTGATTTTTAATATCGGATCACATAAAATATTTATAACACAATATATGATTTATACCCTCAAAAGTAATCTTTTTATCAGGAATAAAAAATAATAAAGGTTTTAATTATCCAATAACTATCTTCCTATTCTAATAAAATTATTCTTTATTTGAACAAAAAAATATGTTTAAAACTACCATACAATTAAATTTTAATGATATATTGAGGGTCTGGGGCTATTTTTCAAAGGTTCATATGAGCTTTTTGAGTTAATTTTTGAAATTTATTTTTTTGATTATTAAAATTTGAATATGGCGAAATCATATTATAAAGAAGAAACAACTATCATTAATAAATTTAATGAAAATCCGCCTTTGCTAGCCGTTACGGAGAAAACTAACTTAGGTTATGCAACAGTAAAAAGATATAAAATAAGATAAATGAAACAACAAGATTTAAAATTGTCTACATCAAGACAAATATTCAAGAAAATGAAAGAAACTAGGCTATACAACTATCTAATAAATCCCCTTTGCCCTAACATGTTTATGGGTCCTTGTCCCATGTAAATTCTCTTTTTTCGCTTGGATCCCATTGCAATTTTAATCCATTTTTTATTTGTTTAAAGTGTAACTCATCCTTTCCCAGATATATTTTTTCGGGAAAAATTAATATTGTTGAAAAATTATTTTTTTGCTTGCCATAAAGTAAATAAGTGAAACAAAATGAGATATTATTTATTCACCCGATCTCTCCTACATAGATAGGAAGGACTCAGTTGTAGCGCCATTTTATTGTTTGTACATCGATTAATTATCTTCTTCGT